AGGATCGATATTTTTTTTATGGTCGCTATGCCTTTTTGTAATCTACATGCAGGATTTACACGAAATTATGAAAGAAAAGTCTATTTTTAACATATTTCCTAATCAATAACAAGGAGGAAAAGGCCAAATGAGCGATATTGGGGGAGCATCCCTCGGCATTGCCCCCGTTTGGTTAGGGCTCTGAATATAAATAACCATAAAGACTTCGCTTCCTCCATAAAAAAAAGAAGACACATAAGCATGTATAATTTGCAACTGGCAAGACTTTTTCAAGTACATATTCATGAAAATTCCTTGTAACTTTTTATCAAAATATTCATAATTTCCAGCTCATTTTTATCTGGGTATGTACTTATGTTTTCTTTGATTACCAAAAATAAATTAAATCGATTGAAAAAAATTCAAAATTCAATAGATAAATAACAAGTTCTAACCGTCTAATTTGTCAGAATTGTTTTATTTACTGCATAAGCCTTCATGAGTAGAGTTCACGTTATGAATTATTCGGGGCTTCTGGGTATGGATTTTGCTGTGGCCAGAGCCTCTTATAATCGTTTCGCTGTCATTTCTTAGCGTCTTCAGCACAGAATAATAGTAACTATACTGGATTTCGAACAATACGTATGTATTATACAGATGCATCCAGAAATACAATAAAGATTGAAGTTTCTACTGCTTCTACACTATCATCATTGTCATCTGTTCTCTTATGAGTATGTAATCCTTTTGCACATCGTTTTACAGTCATTTCTGACGTCAGTGGTAATACATAGGTAATAGCTTCCTACTGGCAACAACCGTCTACTATTTGTAGATGTTCTTACATCCTTAGTCGAAGGTTAACGATGCCTATGCTTCTTCATGAACAAGCACACATACTAGGTATATCTAATATACATTTATACTCCTTTACCACCACTTATTAGGATAATTATTAAGCCATCAGTTGTTCTAGCGCTTACATCTACCTACCACGTACAAGGCTCTGTATAACAGAAATTATCTACCATACGGTAGAATTGTTCAATTTATAAATTACTTTACTGTATACGAGCCCTACCTCAGAGAAGTTGGTCTAATTGTATAAAATACCGTTTTTTAGAGATTATGTCATAATAAAGAAAATGGTCTTTGGAAAACGTTTGATATTGGACAAAATTGGGCAAATATTTAGTATTTTGTGCTTCCAGTTCTTTCAGGGGTAGCAAGAGCTGTAACTGGAGCTCATTCATGTAGAAATATTAGTTGGGAATTGATAAACGAATTACTTCAGTAATATTTTGTGAAATTTATCATTCAACGTGCTTAAAGTACATTCAAGGTGCTTACGGGTTTGAATTGGAATTTGGATTTTAAAATGCAATTGGCGCTTTAAGGGTCAAAGCACTTTAGGTAAGGGTTTTGGGATTAGGGTCATTTAAGTTATTTTAAGATTTCTACACCTGACGAAGACATTGTATCAATGTCAAAATAATTATTGTGGCATATTATAATTCATTGCAACTCAAATATACGATGCAAATTCCTTCAAGTTTTTGTTTTTACTGCAGTTAAAGTCTAATTTGATACGTTAATAGTTAATGAAGAATTTGCTACTGATTTTCGGTGATCCTCCTTTTAGCATGAGAGTAAAAGAATATTTTGAACAATTCCCTAGATAAAAATGTTCAGTCTGTCAGAGTCTCTGAAAGCGAGACTCAACTTCGTCTCTCATCGAGTCTCTCTGGTGTCCTTGAGAGAGACTGTCAAAAAAACTGTTTAGCGTCTCTCAACGAGACTCGAGTCGCTCATAGAGAGATCCTCATTTCGTATCCAGTCTCNTTAAAACATTTCTACAGAAGTTTTATTTTGTTTCCTATATATAGGTCGATTTTTTCAAAAAACAAAAACAAAATGCGGGCATATTTGCCCGAAAAAAAAATGCAGTAAAATTTGATAATTTGGCAAAAATAAAGCGTATTTAGATCATTTATTGATTAATCTTTGTTATTGGATGTGATTTATTGAAGAATTAAGTGAAACTATTCTGCCAAAGTTCGATTTTTATTCCTATACGTGGGTCGACCTTAAACGAAAAAAACATAAAAACACCATAAATAATAATTTTTTTGCAAAAATAGGACAAGCGGGAGCTCCTTATATGATTTATTAGTTAATCTATAACATCAGTTATCATTTATCTATGAATTAAGCAAAAATTTTGTCCTAATGTTCGATTTTGGTTCCCAAAAACAATCGACAGGTAGCTATACATGGGTTATTTTTGGGAACCGAAATCGAACATTAGGACAAATTTTTTCTTAATTCGCCAGTAAATGATAACTGATATGGATAATTGATTAATAAATGATAAGAAGTAGCTGTGGCTTGCTTTATTTTTGTTCAAAAATGGCTATTTATGGTGTTTTTTACGTTTTTCCGTTCAAGGTAGCTCCACGTATAGGATGTGATTCATTTGAAATAGATAGTTTTACTTATTTATGTATAATACAAATGCAAAATGTAAAACACATCCTTATTTTTTAGTTTATTTCATTCAATAAAAATAGGAAAGAGCTCTTGGAATATCAGTAATTGTTATATTACGTAAGATAATTCATATTAGGGGGTATGTATGTTTTGCCAATAACATATAATAACTAGTAGGAAGGTAATATTTTTTAGAAGGGGCGTACTGCTTCGTATGAAAGATGCTTTGGTAAGAAATTGTTATTTACTTTCGGTTATTATTTGGTAGTGTGATATTAACACTAATTTTCTCATTTCAGACATTTCCTGAAGGAACATCAAGAAACTATCTGGAAGAATGCAGCTACCAATCAGTTGGTGAACTATGGAGGAAGAGAATCACCAAAATTTAATTTTTTCAATTCAGTATACTCACTATACATTGTTTTTTTGAACGAGGGATACACTTTCTACAGGAATTCAACCTCATCATATGGCTGAAACTAAAATTTTAGAGTAATTACTAAAAAACGATAGTTTATATTCCCTAAATAAATCAATAAATAAAAATAATCTATCCCATCCTTATAATTTACAATTTTCCACAAAAATTCCATATTTTCCCTTCATATTTTTTGATTTCCATTCATAGCAAAGCATAGGAAAGAAGATAATTTTTATATATTGATTTTAAGGAAAATAAACTTCTCTATTAACGCGAAAGTAAACGTTTAACGACCGGCAAACAAAGCCGGCACGACTGTAAGGGCGTGACACACGAACATTATCAATTCTAATAATTGATTTCAAAATGGCACAGCCTTCTTCGACATAACGTCCGATGCGGATATACGCGGTCGGAAAGTTGGGCAATGCTTATTTATGATTCTTCTTGAGTTTGAGTAATCTTAACCAGGAGCGTTAGTTAGGTATCTAAGACAAACTCGAGATTAGATTTTGCGATATCTCGACAAGCCCATAATCATACTTACTTATAAATGAAAATTTATAATATACGCTATACACATCGCGAAATACGTCTAAATGTATAGAGCAGTTTGTATAGTACAATGACACATTTACATTACGTAAAAGAAATTTTGGTGTGGAAACACCTCGTGTTCATTATTTTGTAAGTGAATTACAGTATGCAAAACACATACCGATATTAATAATAAATTTACTTAGAAAACGTCTCTAACTAGTCCTTATTTATGTTTGAGAAGGTGTCCAACCAACCAACCACCAATTACACTACGAGGGTGGATTGATAAGTTTCCGGCCTAACCAAGAGATGACGCCACTAGGCCTACCTTGAGGTGACATTCTATAGTACCATCCTTGGATNCAAAACCGAAAATTTTCATAAATTTCAACATTTGTATTAGGAGAGCATAAGTTGCATCGGGTTTTTTTCAAAAACTTTTGAATTTTCCATTACTTTTCGATTTCGATTTTCGTTCATATACATGGTGCGACTTTGAACGGAAAAACGTAAAAAACACCATAAATAACCATTTTTTTGCAAAAATAAAGCATGCCTCAGCTAGTTATTATCATTTATTAATTAATTATCTATATCAGATCTCATTTACTGGTGAATTAAGTAAAAATTTTGTCCTAGTGTTCGATTTTGGTTCCCAAAAATAACCCTGTCGATTGTTTTTGGGAACCGAAATCGAACTTCTGCAAATTATTTTTGCTGTATTCATCGATAAATGATAACTGATGTTACAGATTAACTAATAAATGATATAAGGAGCTCCCGCTTACTTTACTTTTGCCATAAATCATATTTTATGGTGTTTTTTACGTTTTTTCTGGTTAAAATCGACCTATGTGTATGAACCAAAATCGAACTTTTGCAAAGCAGTTTTGCTTAATTTATCGATAAATCACATCTAATATTGAATATTACTTAATAAATGAACTAAATACGCTCTTCTTATCACTATTTTTGCCAAATAATAGGAATTTATTGTTCGCATTGGGCTCTCTTTTTTGGTATAGCTATATACGGGTGTTTTTACCAAAAAAAGCACAATGCGGACAATAAATTACTATTAATCGACAAAAAAAGTTGATGAGAGTGGATTTAAATTTTTTATATATATTTTAAGGGGAAAGAGAGAAAGTCACCAGAGATACTAGCGTATTAGAAAACTTTCTGTATCAAAAATGGTGTAGGTGCTTTTTAAAAATCTGAAATTTTGTATTAGGAGAGCATAAGTAATGTCGGGTCGTTTTTACTTAAATCGAAAAATCTTGAAAATTAGTGTTATTATTACTGTTTTAAGAAGGGTGCGTTCATTTATACTTCATTAATTTAAATGATCGCTTCTTTGCTTAAATAAAGCTTAGGACAGGGTACCTGTATAATCTATTACTGAATTAAGCTAAACATTCCAGTAAAATTCACACTTTTGTTGCCAAAAGTGACTTCAAAGTAAATTACGGGACAAGTTGACTTCTAAGTTTTGGTGTATTTGTATCAGGAAACCATTAACAGGATTGGAACGTATCGGTGTCTTAGTAGTGGCGCTATAAACGCTTAAAGTTAGTTGTTGGCAGAAATATTCTATAAGTCTATATATCGTTATATAAGACTAAAAGATTATTAGCAGGAGTCTACGTTAGATGATTTGAGCAGGCATTTGTAATTGCTTAGGTAAAGATTAATATATTCAACCCATTTAATTTTTTTTATTGATCTAATAAGTATTTCTGCTGCTATAGGGTTACACCAGCGGTTCAATTCTACTGTCGTAATGGAGCGTTGTAAATGACAGATAACAGAGAGTAATGTGAACTGGTGATTGTTTACGCGCTTATTTTATGAAATTAGTGTGTTTTAAATCAAATCTGAAATGATTGGCCCATCAATTTGTAATGAGATAATTATTAGACGACTGGTGCATAAGAAGCTGATTAACTTTGGTCGTTTCGGTTTGTTAATTATGAACATAACCTCGAAGTAATCTTGTTATCATGAAAGTACTTATAACTACTGATATTCTTTAAATGAGAAGTTGGTATCAAAATTGAAGTCATACCTTTGAGAATGTTTCATGTACTGTTCCTGTAGTGGATTACATAGTAGGGGTTTCAAGAAATACCTAATGGTCAGTTCAATTTTCAGTGCGGTCTTTTGCCCATTCACAATGTAGTTGGATAGATATGGTTTATTCCAAGCAGGAATACTTATTTTGTGACTAGGAAGGAATTGTGGATATCTTCCAAGATAGGACTTCGGATCATACTCGAAAAGTGTCATTGTGTTACTGCAGATTTCACTTCACATCTATACTCCATGTGAAATAGCTTTTAATTCATATTATTAGGTTATTAATGCTGGCTTTTGTTCTATTATTTATTAAACAATTACTTACTTTATTAAGAAAAACAGTATTGCCATTTTATAATGTCGATGTTAGGTTATTTAACAGCAGTACCTTGCATGCATTTATTTTCTTATGTACTACTGAAAGTTTAATTGGTATATTTTATACTTTTAGGTCCTTTGCAAGAGTTTGGATGCAGTATGAATATAATTCTATTCCTAATACTATGTGGAAGCGCAGTGCAACATAGTCGAAATAGACAAGACATGAAATAGAAATGTTATGAAAACTCACCTCTAATACTCACAAGCAACTGTCAGTAGTGTTTTGTTTATTTCCTTTATTTAAACAGAATGCTGTCGTCCTGTTTTTTTGACAATTATATATTATTTTACTCATTTTACAGCACGAAAACCCAACCGTACTTCAGGACTGAGGTTAAACTGTAAGCACATGCGGAGCAACATCTAGGTTCAGCATGCACAATGGTTTTAATAGAGACTTTTCTCTGGGACCAAGCAACTTACTAAATTAACTAATTTTATAGCACAATGTGAGCAATGTCATAATTACAAGAATTAAAGGAATATACGGTTTCAACTTTATTTGCCTAAATGTAGGTACCTTACTTATACAGTGTCTTGTTTTGTTGTGTCAAATTTTGCATTTATTTTGAAGAAAAGAAAAACGAATTAGAAAGGATAAAAATGAGAAGGTATTGGAAAAAGTAGGAGAACAAAAAGAGTTATGAAAGTCAATAAGGAAAAAGAGAGATAGAATGGTAGGGCGCTTTTTAGGGGGTAGTTAGAGACATACTACAAGCAGACCAGCAGACTGATGACCCTAAATGATGGTAACAGAAGAAATTTGTATTTCTTACATTTATTCCTAGGATAAGTAATATTTGTTGAATTTATAGTGTATACTTAGTAATAAGAACTACATTTTTTTAAACAAAAACGGTTGTAACTGAAGATGTTGTCTAATAATTGTAATGTAGGAAATGTAGGCATTTTGTATCCTATTTTAATGTTTAAATAAAAGACAGATTCATTAATATCATTTTGTATTATTTGTAAGGTTTATAGAAATTCTAATATACCTGCTTTTAAAGTTTTATAAAAGGAGCAACAGGAGAACAAATATTAGTATTAAAAAAGTAAAAACAGAAATAAGCGTAAATAAATAAAAACTGCTTTATAATATTTTATAAAAGTTTTAATTATATACTATAATATTGTTAGGACTGATTACATATTTTGAAGAGTATATAGAATTGTTTCTAAAACAAGTAAAGTAATAATTTTTTATTTAGGCTAAATTCAAAAAGAAGTTTAACAGTGACTTAGTGAAATTTATCGAAAACAAAAATGCATTTTCTAAAAATTTTGTCAAACTCGTTTCAGAAGGAGTTGCTTTAATTAACTAATTAAAACCTATAAAGTAAGGAAAAGTTTGATTTTGTAGACAAGTGAATAAGAATAAAAAAATAAATAAAAA